CCGGCGGCGGAAGCGCCGCCGATCGACACGACGCGAACCTACCGTGCACGCCACAGTGACCTCAGGCAAGAGTGACCTTCGGTGCGCGGGGTGGCCAAACCCAGGGGGCACCACATTGGGACCGCACCAAAAGTCACTCTGGTGAAAGGTCACTATTACGTCTAGTCGGCCTGACATTCGAGGAGGGCCACTTGGACCAGTGTCTGGGTTGCTAAGGGGATGGGGCACTTACCAGTGGTTGCCAATATAGGTTGTAGCTTGCCCAGCCTAGCTTAGAAGTGGGTCACTACACGTGCCGAGAGTGGCTGAACAGAGGTAAGTGCACTGTCGGTTAGCGGGCTCCCCCCCCTTAACCCAGGTAGTTGCCCCCCCGTAGCCCGTCTGCGGGATTTGTAAGCCACTTCCAAGCTGGGGCAGGTCAGATTCAGGCTCCCTTGGCATCCACCGACAGTCCCCCACTCCGCTCGGCGCCGATCCAAGCAGCCAATGCAACGGCGGCCCACCCTAGCGCTTTGCCCGCCTCGATAGGCGGGCGGGTCAGGATGGAATCCCGCTGACCTCCAAAAGCGCATGCTGATGCCATCTTTACTCCTCGACTCCACACACCTCCGCCGACTTCCTGCTTCTGCTTCGCGTGCCGCCCGCAGTCTGCCGCACACGGGGGGCTTACAACGCACCTCGTCCTAGAGCACCATTGCCGATCGAGAATGCCAACTCAAAGTGACCTCCCCGGGCGATAGAGACTGATCGAGCGGCCCAAATCTCCACGCCGGAGTAGTGGGTCTGACGTAGATTGGTTCGCGGGAGGAGGCGCACTGGAGTCTGCAATACTTGAGCCTGGACGCAATCGTGTGCGCGCTGGGCGTAATAGTGGCCCGTGGATGCAATTGTGTAGCTTGCGCTCACAAACAATAGATGTTGCCCGCACAATCAATCGCGGCCCTCCGCAATAGTTCCGTACTGATGCACGCACCAGTACACACGTAAAGAGAGAGTGCGCCTCTCACTGCTGACCGACGTGCACCAGACCCGCTGCTCCAGCTCAGGATATCAGGGCCCCTGAATGACGTAAGGCTGCTCAATATGAAGAGCCGCACCTGGGGTGAGTGTCGAGAACCCGGGGTGTCAATGTTGAAACCAACATCGCGGCGACGGTGATCTGGGGAGGACAAGGAGGTCGGAGATGCTGGAAGGAGGAAGGAATGGGGAATGGGGAATGGGACCAATGACAACTTCATGAACCAGCAGCTCACGAGCTACTGGCCTTCAAATTATCGGGCCTGAGGCCCCGATTGCAACGGCCCAGGCACTCTTTAGGCTTGACGTTTTTGCGATTTTGGGAGGCCTGGCGGGACGCCCTCGTTGTCACTTCTGGAGGAAGAGAAGGGAGCGATGAGACAGGAGGCCGCTGAGGAGGTGGACGACGAGGACAACAACGACGCCGACGCTGACGACGTTTCTACAATTCTGTTGGGGCACCCTCGTCACCACGACTGGGTTCCTCTCGATTCTGGTCGGAAGCGCATGCTGGAAACATATCTGGGCGATCTACGAGCAGGAGGAGGAAAGAGGAATGACAAACGGCGTGGGAAGCTCGGAAGGCCCTATGATTTCAGGTTCCGGGAGCCCTGGGGTACATGTCCGAGTTCCTGAAGGAGCACAAAGACAAAGACCAGACAACGGTTAGCGCCGTGAAGAAAGATCCGCCGTCCCCCAGGTCGGAACCACAGGCGTTGCAAAACGATCGCGACGGATACCCGAACTCTTCAATTGTGGACTAAGGTGAAAAAGGCGTTCGGGCTACCTTGAAACGGCTTCGGGGCCAGAACTTCAATCAGAAGAAAACTGCCGACGACACCGATAATCAGACTGCCGTTGGCGCCAATGTTCCGCGAAACTATGCGGGTGGGTCCCGAGGGGGGGCGCTGGCGAGTCGAGAAGCTCGAGAGGCAATGCAATCTGAAAACGCCCAGATGGGGCAACTAGTCTTCCCTCGGAGCAACCAGTCCGCTGCTGCCGGCGACAATTCTTCGGCAATATCTATGCGGGTGGGTGGCGACTGGGTCGTGGGTATCTCCAGTGAGCTGCACGCAAGAATGACCCAATGCAAGATTGACCTTTGGTACACGGCTTGAGTGTGAACAATCAGATATATCTATACTCACCGGACCTCTCTCTGGGAACTGTCGTGGCGATCCCAGATGTGGCGACGAGGGCCTCCCAAGAATCCCAACAACAACGAAAACGAGGCCAGGGTGGCGGTATTGGTACCGATTCCTCCCCTGATTTAGGAAGGTGCGGGGGGAAGGAGAGGGTGTCCCGGTTGGGCACCACCGAGGATTCGTAGGGTCCTGGATGCGGGCCCTTCGAGGCCCCCAGGGGCTTGCCCCTAAGCCAATGAGCCCTAAGGACGGATGGGGTACGGGGGCAAACGCCATCGCGCAAGCCGCGGCAGCCGCACCCCAGCCGCGGTCGGTTCGGCGTTGGACAAACCTCCCTTTAGTAAACCTCCCCTTAGTAAAAAACGGCCTGGGACCGAAAACGACGGACCTGGACACGCAAAAATGACGGACGCGACGCCCTCTCGCGAACCGAAAACGGCCAATTCCTTAATCGACGTGTCAGGGTAGGAGTCCTATCCACCTCCGATCGGTGGGCGAGCGAAAACCGACGCGCGAGGCGTCCCTGCGAGGGCACGGACCTGCTGGCGGCCCGCGCGGAGCGGCCGTGGCCGCTGTCCTCCACTACTTGGCCGACGACCTTCTCGCCCCGATCGGCGCGACGCTCCCCGACCGAGCCCCCGAGCGCCGTGGGGCGCAGCTGCGAGAGAGAGGGCGCCGGTGCGGCTCGTGAGAAGGCGGGGCGCCGCCCGTGGCACCGCGCGGAGGGGTCTGCACTGCCCTCCGCGCCCTGGCTTCCCCGACGAGGCCTGGCACTGCTGTTGAGCAGGGACCGACCGTCCCGGCATTCCTATAGGCCTAACGCGAACTGTTCTTCGAACCCAAAAATGTTCTAAGAACAAACACAAGGTTCTAGGGTGGCTTCCGCGACGAGGCCTGGCACTGCTGCTGAGCAGGGAACGACCACCCCGGCATTCCTATAGGCATACCACGAACTGTTCTTAGGACCCCGAAATGTTCTAAGAACAAGCTCAAGGTTCTTAGAACATGGGCCCGATGTGTGAAAACAACACGGTCTCAGCCAGAAATGTTCTAAGAGCATTTCGTGCAGACCACCAAAAGCCCTTAGAACATGCTTTGGTGGTCCTGCAGGCGAGCCAGGACGCTGCGCCACTGCTCGAGCTGGGCCGCGTCGCGATGCTGTCGGACCAGGTCCAGATCCGGGGCCTCTTCGGGGGGGCCCGCGGGCGCCCTGGGGCGCTCCTCAGGGATCACTGGCGAAGCCGACGTGGCGACCCCCACGCGCCTCCTGCTGCTCTTGCGGCGGCGACGGATGCAATTTGCAGTGGTTGGCTCATGACCGGCCGTGGGGAATGCAGCTGCTCGCGCGGCGCGCGTAGAACTGAAGCGCCGCGCGCACCTCTGGAGGGGGTCGGTTCCCCCCAGTGGTGGGGGGTCGGCGGAGCTCAATCCTGAGGGGGCCAGCGTTTCGACTACGACCGCGAGGGCCTAGGACATGCGGCGCGATTGCTTCGGTCTAAGAATCAAAATCAACAAACGTATAATCCTTCGGGGGTCAGCGCGGAATCCTTGGATCGGCGGTGCCCCCACCCCCCCAGGGGCGTCGCCAGAGGCGCCGCTCAGGGGGCCAAACGTCGAGCCAAGGAATCCGCACGGGATTCCGATAGGTCACGGTTCCCCACCAGACAGGTTTCCTTGCACTGGCCTTGCAGACGTGCTGCAGCGGATTTCTGCGTGGATTTCTGCCGGAAAACGGCGAGCGAACAACGACATGAATTTCGCGTGGAATGTTTCTGGTCTCCATTCCTGGCAAAACAAATCCGCGCGAAATTCACCTCAAAATCCGGAACGCAATTCTCCAGGACACCCTGGGCCCAGCCTATCGTTTTCCAAACGAAATCCGCTCTGCGATGTTGGCGCCAATACAGGTTGGGACTGCTAGGTCTGAAACGCACACACACACCGACCTGCCTAACACACCCAACACACGGCGGCCGCCGGGCCCTGGGCGTGCCAGTGCTGGACCTCTGCCAGCTCTGTTGGTGCGGGTGTTGCTCAAATCGCGATTGTTCTGATTGTCGCTCCGTTGCTGCGACTGCTGGTATGTCAACAAATTGTTGCGTTTGCTGTTGATGCTGTTATTGCTGTTCGCGTGTTTGCTATGCTAGTGTTCTCCTTCTTGTCGCCCTTTCTGTTGTTGCTGTCCTCTGTGCTGCCCGTGCCAATGCTGCTACTGATGTTAACATGTGCCGCTAGTGTCGCCACTGCTGGTCATGATGTCGTCAGGCTGTTGTCGTCGTCATCGTCCTTACCATTGTTCAGTACTGCTACCGTCATCGCTCTTGCCAGCGTCGCCTTTCCCCCGACGGGCCCGAGGCCCGAGGCCTTCCCCAGCTCCGTGGGCCCATCGTGGGGTGGGCGCCGTGGCCCGTAAATATCCTGGCGGAGGACCCAACCACACGCTGTCGCGAGCACCGCGTTGAAGTACCTCGTTCGGTGGAGCTCCCTATGGGGCCACGATCCGTGTGAGGGGTGTGCCGAAATGAGCGTCGGGCGCATGCGGACCCTGCCGCTGGAGCCTTCGGTTGGAGCTGCTTCCCGCGGGGCCACGAACCGTGTGAGGGGTGTGCCGAAATGAGCGCCAGGCGCATGCGGGCCCTGCCATTTGGGCCCTCGGTGGATCTCCCTATGGGGCCACGAAACGTGTAAATGGAGCGGCGAAACAGAGTCATGCGAAGAGCAGAGGCGAGGAGGGGAGGAGAGAGGAGGGGGAGGAGGGGGAGGAGGAGGAGGGGGAGGAGGAGAGGGGGAGGGGGGACGCGGGGCGCTGTCTCTTCAACACGAGGACACAGTATCTCAGGATGGTTGGGAATCACAACCATCACGAAGATGACCCACCCCCCCGTGGGCCCGTGGGCCACTTGTGGGGCCGGCGCCCATGCATTCTAAAAATGGCAACCCTCGCAAGCACGGCGCCCCCAATGATGGGCCCGAGGCCTCTGCCGGTCCCGTGGGCCAGTTGTGGGCCCGGCGCCCTGGACCTCTTGGGGGCGCGCAAACCGTGGAATAGCAATCCATGGATTTGACGCGCGGTCGCCAAATCCACGGATCGGGGGAAGTGCCCTCCCAAAAATGCAGCCGGTGCCGCCTCGTTCGGCGGCGGAAAAATCCGCGGTTTCCTATGGAAACGGGACCCGTCGCTAATCCACGCCCCCTTGGTCCATGTTTGCGATCGCCTGAACCTCAGAAAGCTGCAACCCTCACAAGGATGGCGCCCACCCCCGACGAGCCTGAGGCCTCTGCTTGCTTTACTGTTGTTGTTGCTGCCCACTTCTGTCAGTATTGCTGTTAATTACTGTTTCTGTTGGTGGTGGTGTTGCTCATGCTGGTGTTGGGGGGTATCGTGTAGGGGTTATGTCTGTGGCTGCTGCTCTAAAGTCGTTCGGAACGCTGCAACATGTCCCTGGATAATCATAAACTGATATGAACCTGCTGATACCTAGAAGCGAAGATGGACATATCTGAGACATATCCACTCAGCCGGCTTTGCTGATGTGATTGATGAGCAGGTGCCGATGATTTTGTCCATGTGGAGGTAATGCCATTTCTTTGCTACGCATGTCCTATCAGTGTTACCACTACTGCCGTCGTTGTTACCTGGGCAACTGCTGATATTGTTGTGATGTTGCACTTCTGATGTCCGTGTTCAAGTTGTGTAATCATGTTGTTTGAGCTGCTGCTCTCTTATTCTGCTTCAGCTTGACAGAGCACTCACCGAGAGACAGAGATTGCGTTTTGGCAGGCCTCTGCCGGCTCTGCTGGTGTCCTTGCCTTCATGTTTTGGAGCCGACGTTAGGCATGTGTCTTCGATTCGGAATGTTTTAGAGGCCTCCTGGATGGGGTCCGAGTGGATGGGGTCGGAGGATCGAGCCGCATAGTCGATCCATCGGCGATGCATCGGCGATGCATCGGCGATGCACTGGCGATGCACTGGCGATGCATCAGCGACGTCGGCGATACATCCGCGACGTCGACGTGAAGCGATTTCGGGCTCCACATCGAGCCGCGTCGGCGATGCGTCGGCGATGCGGCGCGATCCTTCGACCCCATCTGCTCCGACCCCATCTGGGAGGCCTAGATCATGTCCTTGCCGGCATCTTTTGGGGCCGACATTATGGGGAGACCAAAAGGTACTGATACCGCTACTCCCCCGACCCCCCCCCCCCGGGGTGCGTTCTGACCAGAATTTCCAGGAGAATCCAGCGGTGGCGACGGGGGCCGCCCAGGCCCAACAAGGGGAAAACGGGCGCAGGGTAGCGGTATGAGTACCTTTCCCTTTTATGACGTGAGGGAAGCCTCTCCACTGGGAGCCTGCCTTCGTCCCGTTCCGTTCCCCGACGGCCTCGAGGCTCCGAGACCAGCGTCCAAGAAAGCACTCAGCGCTTCGAAGAAGGCCTCGGGCAAGATCATCCTCCGTGGCGCCACAGGTTTTGGTTACGGCCACAGCTCATTGACAATGGTTGATGACTAACGAGAAACAAGACCCCTACCCCATTCTGGAGGGGACCTAAGTTATGAGGGCCAGAAACCTTAGGGATAGGGGGTCTTTTATGCAGATGTACCAAGCCAAACCGCCCAAATCTATTACCCTGAAGACGGGGACCCAGTGAGGCCACGCCTCCATCGTATTATTAAAGTTAGGGGTGCGTTTGTTTTCACTGAATTGAACCCTGACACTAATTAGGGAACCGAGCTCTATGCACCGACGCTTGTTCCGGCCCCGCATACACTTTCACAAGAAAGCGGATCCTGGTGTGCATGTGATTATGGTGTATACATTTGTTGTTGTTTCCCTGGGGAACCGGGGGAACAAGTACACACCACGCCACCCCGACAACGTCCCCGACCCTCAAAAGCCGTGGGAATGAAAAGCAGCCCGCCACTGGCAATGTACATGTTTCAGTCTCCAACATGGAGAAGAATTGAACCCTGACGCTAATCATACCATGAAGGTGTAGCCTAATTGAGGTCGGCGTCTGTGCGTCCGGCATCTGCACTACAGGTGTTTTCGCATCATGCACCTGAGAAGAGATAGCCTCCCAGATGTCTTGGGCCTCCTGACTCGGGTCGCGTCCCTCAGCGTCATGTATGCTTATCGGCAAGGGGGCCGCGGTGCCTAGCCAGAGGCATCCTGGACCCGAAGCAGATGAAGAGCAGGCGCGTGGCCAGCGGGAGGCCGCCCACCTCGGACCCCCAGCAGGCCAGCGCCCAGTAGAACGCAAGGACGGCGGGGTAGCGCCCAATGGCCACGGCGACTCCGGTGAGCTGCCACCACCTCCCCTGCCCCCTCCCCGCCGTGCGCAGGATCACTAGCCTCGACCTCATCCCTGCCCCTGAGATGGGCGAGCAAGAAGCGAGGACAATCTTAGGGACGTGCCCTCAGGAATTGAGGGAACCCTTAAGATCGGCATCGAGGTGAGGTGATGCCAAACACAGGGATAGGGATATGTCATTGCACTTGCCTTACAGAAGTGATGCAGCGGATTTTTGGTTAGCTCCACTGGCGGTGGGCCCCCCAAATTAGAGTTTCGACTGTGGAATTAAAAAAGATCAATCCCGACCTTCAATATTGGAGTTCCCAAACTCCTATATTGAAAAAAAAAGTGGAGTTGTCAAACTCCGGAGTGAAAATTGACCCTTCCCAATCTTGCGGTTTCAATATTGAGGTCTTGGTCCACTATCGGGGTTCCAACACCGATATTGGGGTTTCCGAAACCCGATATTGTGTTTTTCAATTTCGGGGTTGGGAAGTCCGATATTTGACTTTCGATTGGCGTGTGAAAATGGAGGTTAGAAGCATATTTCCTCATCCGCCGCCTCCTCCAACTCCTCCTCCTCCTCCTCCTCCTCCTCCTCCTCCTCCTCCTCCCTCCTCCGGTTGCTGCCGATCTTCATCGGTTAAATCCACACCCGCCCATACCAGTCACTAAGAGGCTCTGGTTACTGATTTGGGCCGGGCGCCCGTGGCGAAAAAGATCGTCCTCCTCCTCCTCCTCCTCCTCCTCATCCTCCTCCTCCTCCTCCTGATGAGTTCGCAATGTCGAACATGCCCCCCGACCCGACCGGCCCGCTAGGGCAAGCGTGTGCTACTTAGAAAGCCGCGTCAACCTTGAACGTCCCGCCCGCCCGAACCGACCAGCCCGCTAGAGCAAGCGCACGCTACCACGAGAGCTGCTTTGTGCTTTAATAACCCGCCCGCCCGACCCGACCGGCCCGCTATGTCAAGCGTGTGCTACTTAGAGAGCTGCGTCAAACTTTAACGTCCCGCCCGCCCGACCCGACCGGCCCGCTACAGCAAGCGCACGCTACCGTGAGAGCTGCTTTGTGCTTTAATGTCCCGCCCGCCCGGCCCGACCGGCACGCTTGGGCAAGCGCGTGCTACCTCGAGAGCTGCGTCAACCTTTAACGTCCCGCCCGCCCGAACCGACCAGCCAGCTAGAGCAAGCGCACGCTACTGTGAGAGCTGCTTTGTGCTTTAATGTCCCGCCCGCCCGAACCGACCAGCCCGCTAGAGCAAGCGCACGCTACTTCGATTGCTGCATTGTGCTTTAATGTCCCGCCCGCCCGACCCGACCAGCCCGCTAGGGCAAGCGTGCTACTTCGAGAGCCGCGTCAACCTTTAACGTCCCGCCCGCCCGACCCGACCGGCCCGCTAGAGCAAGCGCACGCTACCTCGAGAGCTGCTTTGTGCTTTAATGTCCCGCCCACCCGGCCCGACCGGCACGCTAGGGCAAGCGCGTGCTACCTCGAGAGCTGCGTCAACCTTTAACGTCCCGCCCGCCCGACCCGACCGGCCCGCTAGAGCAAGCGCACGCTACCGTGAGAGCTGCTTTGTGCTTTAATGTCCCGCCCGCCCGACCCGACCGGCCCGCTAGGGCAAGGGTGTGCTACTTAGAGAGCTGCGTCAACCTTTAACGTCCCGCCCAAAACAGTCACCAAACGCCTCGGGTGACTGTTTTAGGCGGGGCGTACTTTTCATTCTACGGCCTCCTGCTCCTCCCCCACCTCCTCCCCCTCCCCCACTCTGCCCGCTGTCTTTCCCCTGGGAAGTGCGAGCTTTTCCCGTTTCTCCTCTGGCCTGGCCTTCGGGATCGTAAGTTCACTATTGGAGTTCAAACCCCAATATTGGGTTGAAACCCAATATTGACCTAAAACTCAATATAGAAATACATAACGTTCAATGTTTCAATATTTCATTTCTGGAGTCCAGAATTCAACCTTTTAAATCTTCCAATTTTGGGTTTCCAACTCCAATCTTGAAGTGGCGGCGGCCGAATTCAATTCCGAGGTTTTGAACTCAAATATTGAGGTCGCCGATTGGATATTTCAATTTTCAATCGGCTGGGGACACACCCATGATTGGTTACGATTTTTGCGTGGATCTCTACGTGGATGTGTCCCGAAGCGGCGAGCGAAGAACGAAGTGAATTTCGCGTGGATGTTTGTTGGTCTTCATGCCTGGCCCAAAAAAAGCCGCGCGACATTCACCTCGAAATCTGGAACGAAATTCGCACGGACAGGCCCGGGCCCACCCCATCGTTTCCCGAACGAAGTCCGCTCTGCGATGTTGGAGCCATGCTTCAAGCTGGTGGCAGGAGATCGGAGGCGGCGAAGAGGGGGGCGTCCAAGAGGGGGGGGGCGCAAGTCATGGCCGGCGGCGTGTGCGTCAAGAGGGGGGGCGTCCAACAGGGAGGGGGGGCGTCCAAGAGGGGGGGGCCAGGGAGGAACGTCATGAAATGAGAAGAGGCGCCCTGAAATCTGGTGAAATATCATAGCCCCCGCCATAAATTTCCCCCCCTAGCCATCACCCTCCTCTTTGCCGCCCCCGAGCTCTGCGATGTTGGAGCCATGCTCCAAACTAATAGCATGAGGGGCGCCTTATGCCGCCACCGTGCCCGGCCCGGGACATGCTGGACTTCGGCTGCCCCAGGGCTGCAGCACGCAACCCCCGCAGCGCGTGGGGGATCGGACCGCTCCATAACGCAGGTTGAAAGCGCACGCCTGGCGCGACGCGTGCGCCAAAACGTGGGCCGACACTTCGGTCGGGCATGTCCCCCTACAGGGGGATTTTGGACGAAACATACAAAATACTAACAGCATGCCACCAAGATTAAAAAAAAAAACTGTCAAAAAATAGTCACCTGACTATGATTTTACTATTATTGAATATTCCCCCTGTAGAGGGACAGGCCCGACTTAATCCAACGCGTGCCGAGACAGCACGCACCGTGTTGACGCGGACGTTCTAAAATGGTAGTTGCCCACCGGTCCAAAGAAGTGCGTACAAACAGGACGTATGAGGGCGGATACAGTAGACCAGGGGGTTCGGGCCCGCCCACAGAAGAGCACAGGCAACGAGAACACATCGGCGCTTGAAGTAGGAGGGCGCTTCAAGCAGATTGGGATCTGGGAGTCCGAGAACACCTGCTTGGAACGACGGGCGTCTGTCGAGTGTCGAAACGAGCGCACCAGGGCAGCCGAGACCCTGGGCCCGCAGGGTGCCTGTAATGCCCTCCTGGCCGGACCCACGGCCAGGACGGTGAGCCGGGGATGGCCGCGGCCAGGCACGGTAATGGTGCACAGATGCCGTCTCTGGACTCCCCTCCCCTGCGCTATCCCCCCTGGCCAAGCAAACTTCGCACGTTTTGCTGACAACGGTGGCGGGCCTGTGCACAGCAGGCAATACGGGCCCCCCGTCGCCGTCCTCATCAAAAGCTGATGCAGCATGATCGTGGGGTGTCTGTACGCGCATGATCCAAATTGTAGGGGGACCGAGGGGTACCGATACCGTTGCTCCCCAGACCTCTTCCGCGGTGCGTTGCGTTCTGTCCAGGATTCCGAAGCGGATCCGGCGGCGCCGACGAGGGCCTCCCAGGAGGGCAAGAGAAAGGGAAGCGAGCGAAGGGGTGCGGTCTGGGCACCTCTTCTTCCTCAGGAGGAGGAGGAGGCGGGGGGAGAAGGAGAGGACGAGGCGGAGGAGGAGAAGGAGAAGGAAATGAAGGAGGAGGAGGGGGAGAGGAGGAGGAGAAGAAGATGAGGTGTCATGCTAAGTGCGCTTGCTGCCGCTTTTTGCAAAGAGGGGTGGCCAAGCGGATGCTGGCACTGCACACGGCCCCTTTTGGCCCTACAACCGCCCTCATGCCTCCCCTCCCCTCGGGGTTCCCACGTGGGTGCAAGGGCCTCCGCCGGCCCCCGCGCAAGAGCCACCAAGAACCTCCAAGGCATCCCCCCAGGGCTGGACCTAAACGTTGCTTTTCGTGATGTGTTTCGTTTTGTCGTTCGTTTTGCTCTACCTATTTCCCTGTACCTCCATGCCAACAAGAAAACAGACACACAGCCGAAGTCCAGCACCATAGCGTTTAGGTCCAGCACTGGATCCCCCCTCCCCGCGTGACGAAAGTAAATACAAAGACGCCCTATCCTACGACGAGCTTTGCATGTACGTTCAGGGAGGGCGGCGGTGTGCGAAGTCGATCGGTGGCTCTCAGTGGTGATGCGTACACCGCCACACTCTACTGAGGCCCAGGAACAATACAGTGGTGGAGGGCGTCTTTGTACATATTTTTGTGGAGGACTCCTGTACATGCGACGCCTCGATTTGTCAAGTGCGGGGTCTCTAGAAATTCCGACCCGTTCCCCAGGGCCGCTTTTTCATAGCGAATCGTGTTCTGACGGTCCCTGGGCCTAGAGAGGAACCCAATGGGCCGAATATTGCCCAAAGCACCCCCGCCGTGATTTCTGTTCACGGCGCGAGCAGGTATTGCCTCCCTCCTCTCGAAGCAAGTCTCCCCCGTCGTTGCTCCAAAATCAATCAGCATGGAATCGGCAAAAAGGATCGAATCGACGTGTGCATCGGGCCAGGCTGCATCGGCAAAGACTCGAGGTCGAATCGGGTCAGCTGCGCCAGAATGCACAACAGTGCTATGCTGACATCGGGCCGCATCGGATCATCGGCGTAGCCTGGGAGAGCAAATAGAAGACCTCCACGGGTTATCGTTAGCACCGACACGAAACAACTGATGCGAGGTGGCGGGTTTAGCGGAAAGTTATCGTTAGCGCCGCCCCAAGCCGCAAAACATATCATCCCCCGCCCTCCCCCCCCCCGCGACAGACGTCCAGAACTAGAGGGTCGACGGTAGGAGCGCAAGATCCTTGGACGCTGAAGATGGTGAACTGCCAAAACCCGAAAGGCTGGCCACTGAAAACCTTCTTCATTCCGTCCTCCTCCGTTTCTGCTTCTTCTTCCCGCCGCCCCTTTCCTATGCGATGCCTGCTGCAATCCCTGGAGAGAAATCTTAG